GCACCCCCCGCCCCCCCCCCCTCGCTACGCCCCTGATCCTAATTATCTAGGCGATATCTTACCTGTCGCGAGGGAACTTTCAATCCCGTATGAGGCACCCTAAATGTTTCCATCTCGTCCGTTGGCTTCGTCACTTTTTTTCAAAGACGACTGTGGATGACAACGATAACATTACCAAAATACCAGCCTTCAAAGTCCGTCTTTATTTTTTATGTATTTTAGTATTAGTGTCTCATTAACAATAACTACGTCAGAATCGGTATTTTTTAAAACGTATTTAAAATATTCCTTGTAGTAGAGTATGATATAATTAATCATCTAGGCTAATTGATGGGAAAGTAAATTCATGATAAGCTGATATCATTAAATGATTAAGAAAAATAAAAATAAAAAACTCAAGTTACATTGAATATTGGGCCTATAAAGCTACAAAAGCTCGAAGCGACAGAAATGGTGTCACCCCCAGAGGCGTTGCGATCCTTCCCGGGGACAAACTTTCAATTTTCGATTTGCACCCCCCCCCCCCCCCCCCACCTCCAACTTTCGATTTGCGCCTCTTTAAAGACTATTTAACACTCGAACTAATTACTTAATTAAGTGGAATTATCATTTTTCTCTATACTTTTTGCTATTTTTTGCCTTGGTGTCACCCCCCCCTAATTGTATAACCATGTCCTACCATTAGACTACCATACAACCCTAACCTTGTGTAACCATGTCATACCATTAGACTAACCTTATGTAACCATGTCCTACCATTAGACTAACCTTATGTAACCATGTCCTACCATTAGACTAACCTTATGTAACCATGTCCTACCATTAGACTAACCTTATGTAACCATGTCCTACCATTAGACTAACCTTATGTAACCATGTCCTACCATACAACCCTAACCTTATGTAACCATGTCCTACCATTAGACTAACCTTATGTAACCATGTCCTACCATTAGACTACCATACAACCCTAACCTTGTGTAACCATGTCCTACCATTAGACTAACCTTGTGTAACCATGTCCTACCATTAGACTAACCTTATGTAACCATGTCCTACCATTAGACTACCATACAACCCTAACCTTGTGTAACCATGTCCTACCATTAGACTAACCTTGTGTAACCATGTCCTACCATTAGACTAACCTTGTGTAACCATGTCCTACCATTAGACTACCATACAACCCTAACCTTGTGTAACCATGTCCTACCATTAGACTAACCTTGTGTAACCATGTCCTACCATTAGACTAACCTTATGTAACCATGTCCTACCATTAGACTACCATACAACCCTAACCTTGTATAACCATGTCCTACCATTAGACTAACCTGGTGTAACCATGTCCTACTATTAGACTACCATACAACTCTAACCTTGTGTAACCATGTCCTACCATCAGACTAACCTGGTGTAACTATGTCCTACTATTAGACTACCATACAACTCTAACCTTGTGTAACCATGTCCTACCATCAGACTAACCTGGTGTAACCATGTCCTACTATTAGACTAACCTGGTGTAACCATGTCCTACTATTAGACTACCATACAACTCTAACCTTGTGTAACCATGTCCTACCATCAGACTAACCTGGTGTAACCATGTCCTACTATTAGACTACCATACAACCCTAACCTTGTGTAACCATGTCCTACCATCAGACTAACCTGGTGTAACCATGTCCTACTATTAGACTAACCTGGTGTAACCATGTCCTACTGTTAGACTACCATACAACTCTAACCTTGTGTAACCATGTCCTACCATTAGACTAACCTTATGTAACCATGTCCTACCATACAACCCTAACCTTATGTAACCATGTCCTACCATTAGACTAACCTTATGTAACCATGCCCTACCATTAGACTAACCTTGTGTAACCATGTCCTACCATTAGACTAACCTTATGTAACCATGTCCTACCATTAGACTAACCTTATGTAACCATGTCCTACCATTAGACTACCATACAACTCTAACCTTATGTAACCATGTCCTACCATTAGACTAACCTTATGTAACCATGTCCTACCATTAGCCTAACCTTGTGTAACCATGTCCTAACATTAGTCTAACCATATGTAACCATGTCCTACCATTAGACTAACCTTATGTAACCATGTCCTACCATTAGACTAACCTTATGTAACCATGTCCTACCATTACACTAACCTTATGTAACCATGTCCTACCATTAGACTAACCTTGTGTAACCAAGTCCTACCATTAGACTACCATACAACCCTCACCTTATGTAACCAAGTCCTACCATTAGACTACCATACAACCCTCACCTTATATAACCATGTCCTACCATTAGACTAACCTTATGTAACCATATCCTACCATCAGACTAACCTTATGTAACCATGTCCTACCATCAGACTAACCTTATGTAACCATGTCCTACCATTAGACTAACCTTATGTAACCATGTCCTACCATTAGACTAACCTTATGTAACCATGTCCTACCATTAAACTAACCTTGTGTAACCATGTCCTACCATTAGACTAACCTTATGTAACCATGTCCTACCATTAGACTAACCTTGTGTAACCATGTCCTACCATTAGACTAACCTTGTGTAACCATGTCCTACCATTAGACTAACCTTGTGTAACCATGTCCTACCATTAGACTAACCTTGTGTAACCATGTCCTACCATTAGACTAACCTTACGTAACCATGTCCTACCATACAACCCTAACCTTATATAACCATGTCCTATCATTAGACTAACCTTATGTAACCATGTCCTACCATTAGACTAACCTTATGTAACCATGTCCTACCATACCACCCTAACCTTGTGTAACCATGTCATACCATCAGACTAACCTTATGTAACCATGTCCTACCATCAGACTAACCTTATGTAACCATGTCCTACCATCAGACTAACCTTATGTAACCATGTCCTACCATTAGACTAACCTTATGTAACCATGTCCTACCATTAGACTAACCTTATATAACCATGTCCTACCATTAGACTAACCTTATGTAACCATGTCCTACCATTAGACTAACCTTATGTAACCATGCCCTACCATTAGACTAACCTTATGTAACCATGTCCTACCATACAACTCTAACCTTATGTAACCATGTCCTACCATTAGACTAACCTTATGTAACCATGTCCTACCATTAGACTAACCTTATGTAACCATGTCCTACCATTAGACTAACCTTATGTAACCATGCCCTACCATTAGACTAACCTTATGTAACCATGTCCTACCATACAACCCTAACCTTATGTAACCATGTCCTACCATACAACCCTAACCTTATGTAACCATGCCCTACCATTAGACTAACCAGGTGTAACCATGTCCTACCATTAGACTACCATACAACCCTAACCTTATGTAACCATGTCCTACCATAGAACCCTAACCTTATGTAACCATGTCCGGCTGTCCTTCTTGAACGTCCGCCCGTTCGTGTCGCGGATGATGTTGTGTGGAGCCATGAACGGATCGTCCTGTAACTGCTCGTACGGGTCGTCGCTCAACAACCCTTGCTCCCCCACACCGATGGTCTTCTTGGAATTCTTGTGTAGCCACGAGCGCGAATCTTTCTTGAAACCTCCCGGGAGCATGGTCCTACCAACATGGGGAGCACAAGCAGGAGGGGCGGCTGGCTGGGGGGTAGCGCGTCTCGTCCAAAGCTTAAGGGGATCTGTTGGTAAAAACGTAAGGCTCGGTTTTGTGTCTAAAGCATGCTCCGAAAACTGTAGGTGGAATAATATGACTCAATGAACAGGGTTTCTTTCAGGCATATGGATCTAGGGTGTAAGGGTGGTATTTGAAGATTCTGCTGTGTGTGGGAGTATGGGGAGACGGGACGAGGGGACGAGGGGACTGCGGAGGGACAACTCTTAAAATGTTTCGTCATCATCTTTTTATGGGGCACATGAAGTAGAGTTCATCTGTTTCAACCCCCACGGCAGACATGCTGATAGTGTGGCCAGAACAATGCTCAGTATCTAGGTTTCCCTAACGTGAGACATGTACCCATAATTGCGGGGTGGACTCAGGTACGTGCTATGGGCTCGAGTCCGGGATCCGAACTTTCGGATTAGCAATCGTAAGTTCTACCACTCAACCACGTCGTCCCCTTAAAAATGTTGAAGGTATAGGCCTATATGTTCTATTTAAAGTTTATTTATTTTTTCCATTTCGTACGGCTCGGTGATGGACCGTCTCCAGTCACAGCCCACAGCAGGGGCTAGGAAATCGATTTTGATTATGATATTGAAGCGTATGTAAGTATGCAGGCTTAGGTCAGGTATTGGTCCAGAAAGTTCTAAAAGTGGACATTAATTATTTATAATGCTGGTATGGATCGTTATAAAAACACGTATTTATTTGAAAAATTTTGTGACGGTTTTTGTAAGACTATTTTAAAGCCAACATTTTTAATATATACATTTTTTTAATTTTTCAATTTATATAATTTTTTCTTATATTCAAAGCAACACAAAAAGAAAATGTATTTTAACAAGTTTTGGCCCTTGTCGACAATAATTATCTGGTCTCGCTAGTCTTACTTAGCTAACTTAGCCAACTTGGTCAATAACTCACAGTCACAATGCCATTCTAGATCTAATCATTAATTTAAATTTAAGTGTTGTTAAACCGTCACATGTCAAACACATTCAAATTTGACATCACTACTTCACTGAGTTAGCTAATATGTACACACATAATAGATCTAAAACCTCGTTTTTTTCAGTATGTGTTTACATAGTTTCACCGAGAATCGTCACTTACTTTCTGATCGACTTTATCATTGTGTTAGCTTTTGTTGACCGCCTTGTTCTGATAGTGTTTCCCTTTCTAAAAGCGTGTTTATGGTTGGGATGCTCTTTGGTGCTACGCGCTCATGCGCAATTTCTGGCTAAAATTATCGCTTTATGAAGTATGCCAAACAAACAATATTTTTAACCACCCCCTACCGTTGACATTGTATTTCCAATATAATTTTTTTTTTTTTAATTGATGCTTTAAGTTATGCGTGTTCCGATTACCGTTCTCGACAGACAGTTAAAATGGTAGTGAAAAGTTAAGGGAAGTAACTGTTATGAAGTTGAAACAATTGTATATACATTATTGTCTCCCGTGATTTTAATAAAAAAGAATCTGTCTAGATCTAGAATAAACGTTCAAAAGACAGAGTGCTCTTATTTATTACATAATTACGTTTGGCAGCTACTGATTCCAGTTGTGCAAAATGATGTGATCTAGAGGTAGAGCCCAGAAAATCTTTAGTTTACATCATGGGCTTGAGTCAATGAACCTCTGATGGGTAATTCATCAAGTCAGGTAAAGATGGCATAGTTAAGCTAAACATATAAGCTATACTTCTGCTTCAAGTACCATCTTGTTTGAAAGAGAACTTAATTCTTTAATTTATACTTGATGATTCTAGCAAAAAAAGAAAAACCTAGTATGACCCACCAGTTAAACTGAAGATATTAACTCAAAATTTACTAACAAAAAAGTCTTTTGGTAGTGCTGCCTGCAATATTTTGAAGTATATCAGTAAGTTCTCATTTCCACTGTACCTAATCTGATGAATTTAAAGGCTATACACTATTAACACTTAACCTGTTTTTTATCAATAGAAAACAACATATAAAAATAATTACTCTTGATTTTATTAAGTACATTACTATATATGTATACATTTTGGAAACATTTACCATAAAAAAATTATAAGTTCAACATTCATATCACATGATGAAATGCAGTTATAAATAATCTTAAAATTTCATTAGCTTTAATTAACTTAGGGAAAGTGTTTTGGATGTTATTTCTTCAATTTTTTTCTTAATGGCCAAGGTCCAGTCCTCTCCAAACTCCAGGTCAACATGGCGTGTCCTGGCTGAGAGCAACTGTTGAACAGCCTCTGATGTGGGCGCTGGGATCCCAGAGGCTTTTAGAGCTTCAGGGAATTTCAAGGGGGAGGCTGTTGCCATAACTGCGGATGTTATTTCTGTTGAATTTCTGAAAAAAATATTTTTATAAAATAAATATATATAGATACTTTATTAATATTACTTATAGGGGTCGGCGTGGTCGAGTGGGTAAAGCTCATGGTTGCTCAACCGAAAAGTCTCGAGTTCGAACCCTCGGGCAGATGAGGCTCGTTAGCTGGGGACAGCCACTTTTCTAGGAGAGACAACTCCAAAATCAAACAACTGCTGCCTTGTAGTTTGTTCTTAATTGGACAAAGGCTATGGAAGCAAATCCAAAAAGAAAAGCAGGCTGAAATCGGAGTCAATGGCCTCAATGGGCATAACTAGTTGAAGCGTATCCTTAATTGTGATGGAGGAGTGGTCGAGTTGGCAAAAAGCTCATGGTTGATAAATTTGAAAGAGTCTCGAGTTCAAACCCTCTGGCAGATAAGGCTCGATCCCCTCCAACACTAAAAATTAAGAACGAAGAAGAATATTACTTATTATTTTAAGGACTTTTTAAAAATATCCATACTCTTTGCATTCTTTTTTTTTAATCTATCAACAAGAAAATTATAAGAAAACCAGTATCTATTGATGAAATACCACCATCTCTGTAGCAATATGGAGTAAAAATAATAGTAAATGTAATACCAGGCCCCCGTAACTATAAATATAACAAATGATCACAATAACTACAAATATAACACCAAAACCGGTGAATCAAAATATAAAAGAAACTTTGAAATCAAAGATATAAATATAAGTTCAAATCTCATGTTCACGAGATTAAAAATAACTAACCTTGTGTGCAACTGTGCATAGAAATATGAAACACCAACAGCTGTATGAGGACATATGTGATAGTTTTCTTCATTCCAACACTTGCGTATGGTGTCTTTCACTTCCTCATCCCCTGCAACTACGTACACCTTGATCAGTGACTGCATCTGCAAATATTAAAAATTATTCTTCAATTTGTGGCTTATATCTGCATTGAAAAATAGCAAATAGCACTTAAATTTAGTAAAAAATGTTAATACTATGTTTCAGTTAAATTGTTAATTTTTTTTTTTAAAGTTTCCAATTATAGGAAATAGTGTTCTCATTTAAATAACAAAGTTTTACCTTTTTAATGATATTTACAGGAACATCAACTCTGTTTAAATCTACTTCTTTCATGATTTCCTTTATCATTTCAGAATCTCCATCACTCAACATGTACCAAACTCTTTCTAAATTGTAAGCAAACTGAAAAATAATGCAAAGTAGAAATAGCTCCTTGATCTTATTTTTTTTTAACTGAACATCTATTCATTCATATAACAGTTGTAAGGGCTTGATAAATAATTAAATGCAAAATAAAACAGGAAAAAAATAAGAAAAACATGTTAAATAACAATTTGAACTAGAGGACTAGAGTTGAACTTAAGTGCAGCTCTAGAAATGTATCTTTGCAATTTCTTTTTTTAATGACCATTTCAATAAGATGTTAATATCGGGCACAGTGCCAGAAGTATTTCATTAATATTTTTACAAGCATGTGTATTAAAGAAATATACACTTAAGATTAATTGAACATGAACTATCTAGACATCCACCTGATCATGAATATTATTTTGTTAGATTTTTAGATTCTATATCTTCAACTTTGTTTAGAATGTTAGTGAAGTAAGGGTTAACAAAAAAAATGGGTGAGGTGAAAAATCTTACAAGACATTGAACTTCTTGTGATATTTTTAGAAACCTTGTAATACTTCATTGGATTGCATCCTGGACTGAATAATAAGGTATACATTTTTCTGTCAGATTCTCCTTTGCGAACTAAAACTCCATAGATTTTGATTATTAACTATCTCAAAATTAATTACTATTAATGATAAAAATTAATGATAAAATTGTATGTCACTATCAAAATGCGTATTTTTTTTTAAATTTCATACCCGCTTACATGTTAAAATAGCTAAACATAATTGCAACCCTAACCCCACATATCCATGTCTTCTGACAAAGAAAAAAAAATGTGTATGCCACTATCAAAATGCGTATTTTTAAAAAAATTTCCTACCCGCTTATATGTTAAAATAGCTAAACATAATTGCAACTCTAACCCCACAGATCCATGTCTTCTGATAAAGAAAAAAAAATGTATAGCTTGAGCATACTATTTTTCAGTTTAATAAAATAACAATACGGTTTTTTTTTCTATTGTTCTTATGTGGAACAAGGGTAGTTTTAAATATTTGTGTACTGGTAATTCCATAAGAGAAAGGTACATTTCTGTACAAGTAAAATATACAATAAACAATTCTTTCCCCTAGGTACCTAAACTGTTTTTCCAGGTGCAAGAGTTATAAATGAACAGATACGGTTCTTTCCTCTGATATTACCTGAATGTCCATTGCAGGTGCTAGAGTCATTTGGACATCCCCCAGCTGACACTGTCCTGTCTCCATGATGCGTGACAGCACGTTGTTATGATTGACAGCACACACTAGCTTCACTGGCAGACCCATCATTGTTGTGATAATGCCAGCTGAAGTAGAATAAGGTGTTCAACATCAACATGGTATTTAGTTACATCAGTCTAACAGGCATTATATATGAACCTTTGTTAAATTAAAATACATTTTGACTAATTTATAATCGTCATTTAGATAAGTTTCAATTTAAAAAAATGGATGTATTCAGAGAAGTTCTTTCAGGTTAGCAGTGGTATGTTGTCATATATAAGAATGTTTTATTGTCTAATAGTCAGAAGCATGACATAAATCCCCCCCCCCCCCCCAATTACACACCATGCCCTCACAGTCAATTACTAATTGGGATAGGGATATCGTTAGGATTAGGGTTAAGTTATAGGTAGGTTGAAGGAAAATTTGGGATAGGTTAGGAATATGGTTATGGATGAGGTTACGTATAAAACGCTGGATATGGAGAAAGATAGGCACGGGTTTAATTTGTATTCTACAGGGATTATACTGGGAATAATTATCTGTGATCTAATGAAGGTGGAATAATGACTTGGGGGAGGAGGTATATTCATGTCACAAGCCTGTTATAGTCAGGCTTAAAAACATTAATAGGGTCAGAATAAGAGCTAGGGCATGAACTTATTCTAGAACACTAGAAAAAAATAGCCTAAAATACATCATGCTGACGTCTTAATAAATCCAAATGAAATATTAACCATCAAATTTTAATGTATACACACAGTTATCAGGTACACGTGACACCTAGATAAAGTAGCCTACCTGTAACATTGCCACCACCCCCTGTTGGAATGATAATTTCTACCTCTCTATCTGCCTCAGGGCAGAGCTGAAATAAACAGAAAGTTATAACTACAAGAAAACGCATTTTAAAAGAGTGACATTTTTTTTATAAATTGTCCATTTTTTACCAACCTTTAAGTAGACATAAAAGAAATGCACAATTTGTATAAGGATTCTTGCAAAATTTAGTGAACTTGGTGAGGCTAAATTGTGCTTCTCAACAAACGCAGCATCAGCAAATAGTTTTCTGACAATTAGGTCGATGTCATCTGAGGAACCATCAGCTAATATAGAAAATGAAAAAAATATAATCTATTAATGCTTGCATAGTAATTATGTAGATCTGTTTTTTATACATGTTTAAAATGTACATGCAAGTTTTTTTTGTACAAACAATCATAACAATTTGATTGTTACTAATAAAATTTGAATAAATGAAATAATAATTATATAAAGGCCCTATATATGAGAAATTAATATAAGGTTTTTCTTGTGCGTACAGAAATAATTGCCTTTAACATAACTTCAATAAGCCTTATGCTAGTGAAATAAAACATTAATAATCACACAAACACTGCATGTCATTATTTATGAAAAATTAGTTTAGATTTGCAAAACTACCACATAATTATTCAAAGCACAATCACCCCTATATACATGGACATTTTGGTCAAGAACACTTGTCATCTGCCTCTCTTGAATGAGTGTACAGCGCCCCCTAGGCAGTATCACTATGATGTCAAGGAGGTTTAACCCTCGCACTGCTTCTATAGCTGAACTACCAGTATCACCCGAAGTACCTAAAGTCAAAGAAGGATTTATTTGTACAAATAACCAAACTGAGTTTTATAGAAAATCTTACCATTTATTCAGGTAACTTTAACATTGTAGAAAACTGTTTACAATGTAGACTAGAATAAATAAAATACTTTTAAAATAGAAATGCTTTTATATATTAAATTAAATAGAATAAAAAATGCTTTTTGAAATAATATACACTACAATTAAAATTTTAAAAAGCTTTTAAAAATATTTATTTGATGAATGCAAAATAAAATTTTTATTGCTCTAAAAAGAAAAAAAAACAAAAGAAAACCAATGCTTAATACTTTAGATTGGCACTCATTTACTTATACTAGCTCTTACTTTTATAAATGACCAACTACGTACAAACAAGAAGAGTCATATGTTTCTGAGATTTGTTGAGGAAGTAATTGTAGAATTGACCCATGCAGCTCATGGCCAGGTCCTTGAAAGCTAAGCTTCTCCCATGATAAAGCTCTGCGATGTTTAGCCCATCTGACAAACATTTCATAGATACAACATCAGGGACGGTGAATGTTGAGAACGCTTGTTGCAAAATATCTGAAAAATTAATAAGATTGTTAGTCAAATATAGAAAACAAACTGTTAATTGCTCAGCAGTTTCATCAAAACAGGAAGATAAAAATAGGTTTTTAATAGCTGCATCTTTAGATTTAGTCTCATTGGTATAAATACAATTTGGTTTATACTTGTAATTAATACATTCAACTATTTTACTAAAAAAAGATTTAATATAATTTACAACAGGTGGAGCAAAATGCACCCCAAAAAATAAATAAGAGAAATAAATTGGAACTGTAAAAAAACAGGTGCACCTTTCAAATCTGTAGTTGGAATATCATCTTCACTAATGTAAAGAGAAGTGACTTCATATGCCAGGTCCTCGTAGGAAAGCAATGCCCAATTTCTTAATGTCTCAACAGACACAAAGGGAAATTCTTCTGGAAGGTACATGCCACCATCACTTGCATAGCCAGAGAGTAGCACATCTTTGAAAGTCATACCATGTACACCACCTCTAGTACTGTTGTATTTCATTTTCTGTTGTGTCCTTTAACCTCAAAAAGCTCTGGGGAAAAAATGATGAATCTACTTATTTTTATTGTTAAAAGTATGCTTGTTTGACTGGCCATACCCATGCATTTTATATTGATAGGGCTGGAGTGTTTAATGCAAGTATCAGTGTTATGGTGATAGGGCTGGGATTACAGATTGTCATACACAATACCCAAGCAAATCTTATTTACAAAAACAGCATATAAAACATACGATTCAAAATGACCAAAAAAAGGTTACTGTTCAAGACAATGCTTATTAAATGTGATCAGAGCAACACCCAGCCCATATATCATGAATATAGGCCAAAGTAGTCTAGTCTAGTAATCAGAGAAATTTTAGAGTAAACAATGACTTCAACACTAGGATGGATTCTAAGGATACTCTGCATTACAGGGTAATGGTTACCCACATGTTTTACATCAAGTGATTCATTAATTTCCTGCCTGCAATGGATCCATTGAAGTTTTCTTAGTATTCAAGAAGTATTCTTGAAGTTCAAATTAGAACTATTTGAAATAACTGTACGCTTATGGTCAGTATTTTGTTCGGAGGGGGGGTGCTCTACCCCCCCCCCCCCCCGTCCCACCCCCCCTCGAAGAGATGCCTGGAAGAAACTCTGCAAACCTAGTGGTAGACTCACTCTTAGTCTATAAATCTATAATACTATAATGATTCTAGATCTAGAAAGACTCTGGTAGAACTTTTAATTCCTAGATTAGATATGGATAAGTAGTAGATCTAAGTATATACTATATAAGTAATATTAAGTAAGTATAAGATAAGTTTAAAGTTAAAGTTTAAAGTTTTTAAGTTAAAAACTGATCTAGAATCTGGACTGTGGTCTAAAGACCTGGATAAGATAGATTAGATATAATTGACTGAGTACTGAGAGTAGGCAAGATCTAATCTAGATCTAGAAATCTAGAATCTAGAGTTACTATATAAAGTATATAGATCTAGATCTAGATAGATTCTAGATCTAAACTACTTACTACTTAGACTTAGAGATTAAAGATTTCTTAGTCGCCATAAAAAAAATTAAAATACGATTATCATGAATAGTATTGAATAGTGAATAGTCTAATTTTAGTAAAATACTAGATCATCTCAAATGCTTAATTAATTAGATCTAGGGGCCTAATAAATTATTCTAAATTTGAAATTATTTAAAGAGCATACCGGTGGATGATCTGCAACGAATGTGTAGTGTTATGACATGAGCTGGTCAGACGCCTCATCGATTGATGTTACTAAGTCAAGGCCTACAGCTGCTAGCCTAGTTCTAGAATACGGTCCGAGGCTGTGACTGTGACCCAAAGCACAGATTTTCTAACAGTTTTTAATTTAATGGCTCTCGATGTTACTGATAAGATAAAGGGCCATAAACAAGCTTTCCAACTAGATTTCTAGATCTAGATTCTGTCTATTACTAATAGCGCACTATTAATTTATTATATTTTAGTAGCTTTGCTGTTGTAATTTTTAGGTGTTGTTTACTCAGGTCTTAGATCTAACATCACGGTAGGCAACTCAGTATGATGTTAAGTTTTAAATAAAACATGGAGGGGAAAATGCATAAAAATTCAGTAGGGGGAGGGGGGGGAGGAGGTTCAGATGATGCGACGTCACACTTTTGCATTATAAAAAAAAGCAATGTTAAAAACTAATTTAAGACGTTATTCCGCGTTTAAAAAAAAACTGTTTTTAATCAATTGCAATAGGAATTGATTAAAATACTCTATATTGACAGAGTTCAGACAAGACTTTGGAAAAATATCGATGTTTTAAGAAAAATTCAACTGCAATTTTGAGGGGGGTTGTAGGCTGAGGTGTGACGTCATTTTAGGGGTGGGGGTCTGGCTTTTTGTGACGATGTGTGACAGAGGGGAGGGGGGAGGTAAAAATCGTCAAAAAAAGCCTGACGTCATTTATGGATGACCCCTTATGTTATTAACAATATTTTTTTTAATTGAAGATTCTATGGACCAAACATTTTAAATTAATGTTAATTGTGGCTGTCTAGCTTTAACTAGCAATGGGTTAGGGTAAATTCGGCTAATCATCTTGACGTCATTATATTACTTTTACTCAACTTTACGCTACACGTGTTTCTATAACAAAACACCTCTTTTTTGTCGTGGTCGCGCTGACCTAAGATAGGTGTCGTCCATAAATGACGTCACACTCGGGGGAGGGGGGGGGGGCCAGGGGCGTAGCGAGGGGGGGCGGGGTGCGGACCGCACCGGGTGACACCATTTAGGGGGGTGACACCAAGGCAAAAAATAGCAAAATATATAGAGAAAAACTCGAGGGGGGTGCAAATCGAAAGTTTGAGGGGGGGGGGGTGCAAAAAGAAAACTTGATGGGGGGTGCAAATCGGAAGTTTGAGGGGGGGGGGTGCAAATCGAAAATTTGAAAGTTTGTCCCTGGGAAGGGTCTCTATGCCTCTGGGGGGGGGGTGCAAAAAGAAAACTTGAGGGGGGGTGCAAATCGGAAGTTTGAGGGGGGGGGGGGGTGCAAATCGAAAATTTGAAAGTTTGTCCCTGGGAGAAGGGTCTCTATGCCTCTGGGGGGGGGGGTGACACCATTAAGTGCCACACCGGGTGACACCCGACCTCGCTACGCCACTGGGGGGGTCGGTAATTTTGTGACGATGTGTGATGAGGGGGGGGGGGGGGTTCAGATGGTGCGACGTCACACTTTTGCATTATAAAAAAGAAATGTTAGAAAACGAATTTTATACGTTATTTCGCGTTTTAGAAAACTTAATAAATTGTAATAGGAATTGATTAAAATACTCTATTTTGACAGATTTCAGACAAGATTTTGGAAAAATATCGATGTTTAAAAAAAATTCAGCTGCAATTTTGAGGGGGGTTGTAGGCTGAGGTGTGACGTAATTTTAGGGGGGGGGGGGAGTCTGGCTTTTTGTGACGACGTGTGACGGAGGGGAAGGGGGAGGTAAAAATCGTCAAAACAGCGTGACGTCATTTATGGATAACCCCATTAAGACATGACCAAGCGAGCACATTATGCACACGCTGTTATTTAAATATTTAACTGTAACGTGGTTGTTTTGAGTTTTTTACTTGAAAAAAAAATACCCAGATCTGCGTTGCTTAGGATTTGACGCAAATTAATGATGTAGACTGATTTTGTTGCACGATCGATCAGAGTTAAACTAATTGTTTTTAAACTTACGCTTTAATTGTTTGAAATGTTTAAAAAATTAACTTGATAATGTTAACCTACATTCTTAATGCATTTTTTTTAAATTAAAGAATTGTGTTTGTTAAATTTAACAATATGGACGTCTACAGTAACCCGAACCCGCCCGATCCCCCCCCCCCCCCCCCCCCCACCGTCCACGCTAGTCGATTTGTTTCGTCCCCCCCCCCCCCCTCTCTGTCAACAACCTGTAGCGTGACGTCATTTGTGCTACTCCCCACCCCCTTAAGATTAAAATTATCTTTATGCAGGGTCTGAAAATCAATATGCTAGTTTTCACAAGTATATTTCAGATATAATTTTATTATATATATATTTTATATGCCAATCAGTTATCCCTTATTACCCTACGGCAGAGGCGGATTAAGCTTCAGCGGGGCCCCTGGCTGAAACTTTTTCCGGGGCCCCCTTTAACTATATATATATATATATATATATATATATATATATATATATATATATATATATATATGTAACTAGGGGAAGTTACCAGACATAAGAAAGCGGTACAGCGCTGTCAACTTTGACACGACTGATGTAATAACACAGGTGGTGGCTGATAACGATCAGAAAGCCAGGGCGTAGTATCTCGGGAAGCGATACGAAAGACGGTCTGTCAACTTTGATGTGACAGGATGCAGATGGCTTATTAAATCGGACTGTACAACAGAAGCGGCGTAATGCAACGATTACGATTACGAGTATGATAGGACCGAATATGATTACGGATATGAAGGGGATAAATAAGGAAGGCGACGGCTGAGCTCGCAGTCTCTCTCTCTCTCTCTCTCGCTCGCTTTCGATCAGTGAGTCAGTGTGGCAGTTGGTTATTGAACGGGTTAGCCGTATTGTGTTAAGAAGGACGTTAGACATGTGTATTCAGTTAGATGAAGCCTAGTGAGGACTGTTGGGGGTCCGTTGATTCAGACTATTATTGTGAAACATCTCTCTTGATTCATTATATTATTGTGAAGCATTCTTTGATTCATGTAATAAAAGGATCAATAATGAACCTGCATCTTCGAGTATCTATGCTGTGGTCAATGTTGTGTGGAATGAGTGGTTAGACTCGGGAAGGTCACATTTGGCGTTGTCGGCAGGGTAGCCAGAGACTCGTTACATTTGGCGTTGTCGGCAGGATAGACTCGGGGACTCGTTACATTTGGCGCTGCGACCAGGATGAATTCAACGAGACTTGCCGCTTTAGGCACCCATAGTCAACCTAGTTCATAACTGTGTTTAGTGTGTGTGTGAATTCGGACATTCAGGAACAGTGAAAATTGAGGAACGAGGAAAAAAATTTTCATACACACACGGTAAGAAAGAACTCTTTTTTTTACTAAAGGAATAAAATGTCTACTCTGGACGAGAAGCAGAACCATATTGTGGTCCTGCCCAGAGAGTCCCACATTAACAAATTTTACGGGGACGGTGATCCAACTTTAACCAACAGGTTCAGTGAAGAGGTCAAAGCGGCCTGGGCCTCGAGAAACATGTCACCAGAGGAAAGATTAAGACTGCTGATGGGCAGTATAGGAGAGACGGTTAGGGCAGAGGTCAAATGCCACGATAAAACCGTCCAATCAGATCCAGATAAGGTGTTGGATCTAATTATGGAGACCTTTGGGGAGAGACGGTCGGGATCGCAACTGCTATCGGGGTTCGTAGGCTTAAAGCAGAGAATGGCGGAGAGTGTGATGGAGTATTCACACCGAATAAACAGGGCCTTTGATTCGGTAAAGGGCAAAACACCTGACATAGATGTACGCCTACTGAGGGACCAGTTCATCGAGGGGCTAGCAACCCCGATCTTAAGGAGAGAGTTGAAAGAGGAGGTCCACAAAGACCCGCAGTTGACCTTCCTTCAGGTCAGGAACTCAGCGATCCGCAGGTCCGAGGATGAGGACCAATCGAACTGTTCGGTGGACAAAGTCTCGGTGCCGGAACAGAAACAATCCCCACCCACGGGGACCGGCACGGTGGAAACCATGATGGCTCAACTGTTGGCCCACCTGGATAAGGTTGACCAAAGATTGGAGAGGTTAGAAAGCAGGTCAACAGCTGAGAATCAGGAAAAGAACGGGACAAAACAGAGACAGGTTGGACGGCCGCGACCCGCCGGTCCATCGCTCCGGTGGACGGCTGACGGTCGACCAATTTGCTTGTCCTGTTCACAACCCGGACATATGGCACGGTACTGCCAGGGAAACGGTCGTCCTCTGTAAGGCAGGGCCAGGCTACAGAGGGGCGAGGTTATGGCCCAAGAAGCAAAATGATGGGAGTCTGTCCCGAAATGGTGATTACGATTGGGGACATCGCGGTGAAGGCAATTGTGGATACAGGCTCCCAGGTGACGACAATCACGGAAAATTTTTACACCAAATGGATGAAAGGAAAAGACCATAGGTTGAGGTCTGACACATGCATGCGCCTGACGGCAGCTAATGGACTAACCATTCCATACTGTGGTTATTTTCTGGCGGATGTCGTGGTGGCGGGACATAGGTTGAAGCAGGTTGGGGTGTTCGTTACGAAACACAACCTAGAGACAAATGTGTCAAATACACCTTGCCTGTTGGGCATGAATATTCTTGGCCAGTTGCCAGAATTTCTTACAAATATTGTCGGATCGACCACACCAGGTCGGGGATCCAAGTTGGCCAGGTTTGCCAAGACCAGAGGAAGGATATCAGTCCCGGCAAACACGGTCAAGGCAATCACATTACAAATTGGGGATAGAAGCGTGAATGGTGATGTGATGATAGAACCATGTGGCGCCGCACTGAGGGCAGGCGTCGTGTTACTGCGGACATACACATCAGCGGAAAATGGACTAGTTCAAGGATTAGTGGCAAATGTTTTGGATGAGGAAATTTTTATACCGCCTAATACTCTGGTAGGAGTACCACAGAACGTCGAGGTACAAAGGTCGGCGCAGTGCATCGAACTGAGCAATACCAGCAGTAATGAAGTAACAGTTAGGTCGGTCAATGTGACGGCCGAGGTGAAGAAAGAGGATGGCCGATCATATACATTCCCGGAAACTGAGGACCCAAAACTAAATGAATTGCTGAATAAGTACAGGGATATATTTGCCTCGTACGAGGGTGATTTGGGTTACACGGAAGTAATAAAACACCAGATACCCTTACTACAAGACAAGCCGGTGGCGCAACCTTATCGAAGATTACCACCGAGTCACTACTCTGCGGTGAAGGCACACCTGAACGATCTACTAAAAAAGGGAATTATTACAACCAGCACTAGCCCGTATGCGGCACCGATAGT